CAGCCTGCCAAACAGGACCCCCCCACCCGCCTGCCCCCGCCGGGGCGGCTCACACGTTAACGTGTTTACAGAGTGTCGTCATCGCGCGCGCCGGCCAGCCGAGTTGTTAGCGCTCGCGCACGGGCGCGGCCCCTTCAACATAAAGCTCCGCTTGTTACGTGGCAAAACGACGGCGGGTTTGACAAAAGGGGTTCGGGGGCCTCCGCTTACGGAAAGAAACCAGCTGCAATCGAGACGCGTGAGTGGATGGGCACAGGTGGGCCGAGTAGACGTGAGGACCGCGACCAACTATTGGTTCAACAATCAATCAATCTGCTCCATCAACTGAATTCAAAACAAGCAAACATTGGACAATGTGACTGGTTGGCCAAATGCTGTCATGCGGTCGTCGTGCCGAAAAAGTCCCAGACGGAAGCCTTTGCGATCGTCCGACACGAAGCAAAGTCGTGAGCGGAGCGCGACCCAGTAAAAGTGGCGCTTTCTCCAAAGGGGCCGCCGCCACCGCCGCGTTGTAATCCAAACGGCTCGGACTCTCGTCGCCAGAGTCCCTGGACGGCATTGCGCCGCGTGGCCGCCGCAACGCGCGAGTTCGTGAGCCGCGATAAGGGTGGGAGAGTTTTGCAAAGATTGGCCCACGCCAACGACGATAAATAACACCGGCGGCTTTGCCGTCGGATCGACAAAATCACGTTTCCGTTCGAGTCTCTCGGGCAGCAAATCTGTCATCCGGGCACTCGGGTGCGCGCGTGCGTCGCCGAGGGCTTCTCACGCCCCCCTGGCGGCGCAAACGCTGCTCGGCGCCAGGACAAAGGTCTCAGGCCGCTAGCGAGAACCGCCCACGGCCGCCGGGCGGACAAACGCGCCGACTGGCCGCCGTCTTGGAGGACATCCTCCACAACAAAAAGGATCACCCGGGAGACACTCCGGCTCACCCTCTTGAAGACAAACGGCATTGAAAATGGACGGAATCCAAAAAAGAATCATCGGAAGAATCCAAACGATCCGACACGGGTCCAACATTGAAACGGGCCGTCGCTCGTCAAGCGCGACCGTGTCAACGGGGCTGCCCTCGCGTCATGTTGTCGCTGCAAATATTGTCCGACTCTGGAAGTCTTATTATTGTTGTTGTTAGCATGTTGCTAAGCTCCCGCGGCGCGCTGGATGTTGTTGCTCAAATAAAGCTCCTCATGAATCATGAGACTTTCCAGCATGCGTAATGGCGTCCGATCCCATGTCAGCTTCCTGTCGCCGCCCCCGCTGAGCCTGAACCCGACGCCGGGTCGCCGCCGGACCCGGGTGGACTTGATTGACACTTTCAGCACCTGCGCAAATGAACGGACGGACTCATAAAGACCTCAAAGCCGCCTCGCCGCGCGCGCACGCTGACTCGCGCGCTCGTCATGGCACGCGCGTGAGCCGAGCCCGGGGAGCAAACCCGCCACCCCGCAAAAACCGAACCCGCGCCTCGAGAGCATCGCCGGAATTCCGAGAAGACCGACCCAACGCCACAATTTGCAAGATGTGAAAGCGCGCCGCGGCACGGGATCGGACAGGGCGAGGAGTGAGGACAGCCGACTCGCGCGCTCGTCATGGCGCGCGCGTGAGCCGAGCCCGGGGAGCAAACCCGCCACCCCGCAAAAACCGAACCCGCGCCTCGAGAGCATCGCCGGAATTCCGAGAAGACCGACCCAACACCACATGTTGAAAGATGTGAAAGCGCACACACACGACAACACGATGCTTCCTCACGGCATGTGATGGCGCATCACCCGCCGATGTGGACAACACGCGCCGACCCGCGAAGATACGGAGTCAACGCCGCGCGACGCCACACACATGTGCGACTTGTGTGCAGCAAATGACGAGAGGGGGTGACGGGACAAAGCGACGCGTGACGTGAAAGGCTGGAGTTGCATTGTTTCGAGACAAAATCCAAAGAAAAAGCAACCTTGCTCATTTGACAAAGTTAACGTGTGATCGTTGCAGAGTGGGAACGAGTTGCCATTGGGTTGCGATGAGGAGCGCACGAGGCAGCAGACGTTAGCTAATGTCGACGTCAAGGCCCCTCCCCCGCACTCGCACGAGTGCAGCAAGCGTGCAGACGTCCAGAAAAACAGCCGCGCGCGCGATAAGGCGGACGAAGGGCAGACGTCGGCAAAAGCGCCCCGACGCATCTTGACGTCCTGCTAGCGTAGCATGTAGCACGCGTGGAAACGCCGGCCTTGGCCCATTATCAGCGGAATTCCTTGCGAGCTTTTTTGCCGGGAAAGGTCGGCGTTGCTCACAGATCCTTCCCATGACTCATAAGGGAGCGACCCCCCCCCACCCCCACAAGACGGTTGGAACAACAGGCGATCTCGCAGTCGGCCCGATAGAAACACTGAACACGGGCGGACTTCATCCATCACGGCGGCGTCAACACTCGTACAGCCGCGGAAGGATCGGGACAGCCCTCCGTTCAATCCGCCAATCAATGGAGCCGCAAGTCAATCAGAGGCCGGACGAAACGCAGACGCTTTGGAAGGATGAGCGGGAAAAGCCGAAAGCCTGCCGAAGCTGCTTCTCCTTCATATACGAGGATGTCGTGCGCTCCGCAGCCCAGTGAGGAGGCACGCGAGAGCTGTCGGAGGAGCAAGGACACGAGCCGCGTGTGCGCCGCGTGTGCGCCGCGTGCGCTTGCTGTTTGACGTGCGTGCGCTTTTCAGACAGTGCCAAACAGCAAAGCGGCATGGAAAGCGAACCAGCGGCACTCGGTCACTTCCTCCCGGCTGGCACCGCAACTTTGTTATTCGGGAGCCTTTACGACCCGTGAATGGACGCTCTGTCACGCTCGCTCCTCACAAGCACGCACGCGTAGTCGCCATTTTGACGACGCCACCGCGTCCTTCCGCGAGTGCGCTCGGACGTCCAGTACGTCAAGACGCACGCGCGCGAGGGCCACAACGGGCGGCGCGCGCGCGCAGCTGACATGTTGACGCCGTTGACGGGCGCAGGTGCGACCGCGATGATGTCACGCTCGCTCGAGGATGTGAGCGCAGCGGAAAGCCGCGCTCACACGCGCAGGCTGTCGAAAAACATGTGAATGCTTTGACTGTCGGGTGTTGAATGAGGCCATTCTTTTGCCCTTTTCCACACGGCGGCAGCGCCTCGAGATGCGAGTGGCCCGTACCGGCGCCGAGCCTTCCGACGGCCAATTTGTCCCTCGGACTCGCGAGCTCAAACCCGAGCGACGAGCTGACTCGGCCGGGCGCGAGACCGGGTCGCGGGCGCGCCGAAGGCCGGTGTTGAATGAGGCCATTCTTTTGCCCTTTTCCACACGGCGGCAGCGCCTCGAGATGCGAGTGGCCCGTACCGGCGCCGAGCCTTCCGACGGCCAATTTGTCCCTCGGACTCGCGAGCTCAAACCCGAGCGACGAGCTGACTCGGCCGGGCGCGAGACCGGGTCGCGGGCGCGCCGAAGGCC